GACTGCGCTTGTCGGAAGGAGGGACTTTGTAGAAAACGAAGCGTTTGAGAGAGGCGGGGCATAGAGGACCTACAATAATGTACAGGATTTGAAAAATAATGTGTTTTTTGAACATTAGAGCATGTCAACGTATTCTGTTACACCAAATACAAAAAATAATGATCTTTAAAAAAGCATCATATGACCCCTTTTTAAAAAAAAGCCTTACCTTCAGTGTGCTGAGGCCAGTGTTCACTGTTCAGAGAAGACAGTTGCCACAAGCACTTTTCCTAAATATGACAATTAATTCTTCAGATAAAGGCAAGTTCCACTATTGTTGTGAATTGTAGATTACGGACACATTCATTCCTTGATATTTACATGCTTTACAAGAAAAGGAAGGAAAGAAAATTTCAATACATATCTATTTGAGGCCTCAGTCATAAAACCAATTCAAAAGCAAGTGGTGTATTAGAGGTAAAAAGCAAGTGTTACTGTACTACAAAACAAAACATTAGGCCTATTTATGCATCTGTAACTGCAGTTTAAATGCATCCATGTCCCCTCTGAGATACATTAACTGTGTAAATAAGTAACTAGATAAGAGTTTGGGTTGTGAGTGTGTGTGCAGTTTACATTACAAATTGAAACAAAAACAAAAAAAATAGTGATGTGCACGGATAAATCATTTATTATAAATACTTCAACACTGTGTACAAAATTTAGAATTGTCATTTTTGATTTCATGGTGATTTTAATAACACTTATTGTGATTGCAATGAAAAAAAAAAAATCTTTTCCCAAAGACATTGACATACAATTCACATGTTCTGGGTGTCATTGCATTTCCTTGGCTGAGCTACAAATGAAGGCTACATGCTTACATGGGATAGTAAATGCGATAATAGGCCTATTACAACCCAGTTACCTTGAACAGCACATTGTTCACCTTACAAAACAAGCATTGACCTATTATTTCCAGCAATTTTACACCCAATAACAAAAGCACATGCCTCATATTACAGTTTAATGTAGGCTAGTTGATGCTGTATACCTGATCCTGCAAGAGACGAGCATGCAGGTAAAGAGAGCAGTGCAATGCCTTTGAAAGAAGAAAATACATACATAAATACAATGTTTTGTTACATGCTCATTTATAAAGTCTTTTTTGTAAAGTTTGACATGATATTGTCTGGCCTGAACCTGTATAAACTGGTTTAAAGCACTTTTAAAAAAGTTTCATTGCAACTTATTTGGCATGTGAAATAGGCGTAGCTGTGCTGGAGGCAAGACACGTTAAAGGTTGCTGGCATTTAACATTGGCCACAATCATTAAAGGAATTTACAGTTAAAGACATTGTAATGTTTTTTGTTATATAAGTCAGAAATGACAAGGAGGCAGCTTCCCGCAATACAAAGTCAATGGAGAGGGTTGGATTGGTGGGCGTTGTGTAATTCACCGCTGGTTCCTTAGGAGATTTTCCTATGGGGTTTTATAATTAACGAGTAAAATAAAGTCTGTGGCAAACATCTCTACAATGTACATTACATGCATCCATACCCAAAACACAAATTTTGAAGCAGTTGTGTTCATTTTTGTAAATTTATGTTTTTAACAAGTAACTAGATAAGAACGTTTGGGTTGTGAGTGTGTGCAGTTTACATGGCAAATTGAAACAAAAAAATATAGTGATGTGCACGGATAAATCATTTATGATAAATACTTCAACACTGTGTAAAAAATGTAGAATTATCATTTTTGTTTGACATGATATTGTCTGGCCTGAGCCTGTGTAAATTAGTTTAAAGCAATTTAAAATAAAAAGTTTCATTGCAACTTATTTGGCATGTGAAATAGGCGTAGCTGTGCTGGAGGCAAGACACGTTAAATGTTGCTGGCATTTAACATTTGCCACAATCATTAAAGGAATTTATAGTTAAATTGCTTTGGGAACTTTTACATACATGAAATGCTTTTATTTCTCTTTAGTTCATCCCTAAACAAACATTCTGTTTAAAAACCACATGACCTTGTGACTGTGGATCAAAAGAGGACATGTTTTGAAGAATGTCCAATCGGATCTTTTTCATAGAACGGAAACATACAGTGTACAAGTCTACTCCCCCCCCCCCCCCACTACAAAGCCTATTTTACCTAATAAGGCTAATAGTTTAGCTTCAGCTACATCACGAATATGGACACATTTGGATTTGTGCCTGAGAGAAGTAAGCCCAACTTTACCTCACGTTTCTTTATAAATTAATTTGTTTTGGCATGTTTATTGCCAAGCATATATTATATACTGCAATTATATTTATCCATTAGAATGATATATTTTTAAATTCTTATTCTGTTCTGATATGGTTAAATTTAAAGGATTTGTTGTAAAGTGAGGGGAACTAAATTATCCTATAGTGTTTATAATGTTGGTACATTACAACATTATTAGGCCTGCCATTATAATTTCTGAAAATGCAACTTATAAGAGACGGATCTTTTTTTTATTTTCCTCAACAAACAAAAAAAAGTTTGTTTTTAAAAGCATGCAGCAAACGAAAATATGCGATTAATCTGTTAAAATTTGTTACTGTGGGTTAACAAATTTACATAAGTAGGCTATTATAATGCTTGGCTTCACAGATAGCTACAGAGTCTGGGCCAAATCTGGTTTACATTCACTTCTGGCTTTTTTTGTCTTGATTGCCAATGTTTTTTGTTGTTGTTTTTTTATGTACGATGGATAATTAAAACAAAAATCAGGCGTGTGTATTTATAACATCAATTACTAGGCCTACATTATTTTTTTCAGAAATGGAAGTAACTCCAAATGTTGCGTGTTTGTAATTTTAATATTTTTATCTATAGGCCTATACAGCAAAACTACAGAGCTTCCAGTAGGTTATTTTATGGAGCTGTAAACACGGGAATCTCCGACTGCATGCAATCTTTGAGTAACACCCAATTCATATATCAAACTAGGCTATATGTTATTAAATTGTACATAGGCTATATATCAGATTATTTTATTTACTAGTTTCATGTTTGTGTTTATCCCGTTTTTTCCCCCGTTGCATCTGAAAATTACTTTCAGAAACTTTTTTTTTTTTCAAAGCAAAGCCCCCCCCCCCCCCCCAAAAAAAAGCTATAAAAAGCAACATAAAAGCATGCAGTGTTACTTAATATTGAAAATCTTCTGCAGCCATCAGGTATAATGAACATTACTGTATACTAACCTGAGAACCATTTTCTCTGATAATATTTCAGCAATCATTGTATGTTTTTCCATCAGCTGTTTGGAATAAGATCTAGTGATGTCACGTTCGCGAATGAGTCACTCTGGCTGCATTTACACAGATCTGGATGCCCAAATCTGATTTTTTTGACTAGCCTATATCCGATTTTTTGAAGACCTGCTTATTACACCTTCTTTGTATCCGATATCTGCATTTACACTACAGTACACAGGCTTAACTTGACGTGGCTCAATGCATTAGACAGTGATATTAAAAGACCAAACTCTGCACACACTATTAATAAAGCATACTTTGTATTGAAAAGCAGATGAGATTTCACCCGAATGAATAGAGAGTCTCCACAAAAGTTAGCAATAAATTGAAGCACTCGTCTGTGCATGAGCCGCCGTCACTGATACACTGTAAATTCTATTTAGTAAACTTTACTTAAAAAAGCTTGCAAACTGATTGCCTTGAAAAAAACAAGTAAAGTGAAATAAGAATAGTAATTTGTACTAACAAAGGTTTATTTAGTGTTGTAAACTT